CAAAAAAAAAAAAAAAAAAACACAAAAAAAACCAAAAAATGCAAAAAAACAACAAAAAAAAAAACAACACATGGAAAAAAACAAAAACCCCCCACAAAACACCCCCCAACAAAAAACACCAAAAAAAAACCCTACCCCAACAAAACACAAAAACCCCAAACCCAAAACCCATACACCCCAAACACACACAAAAAAAAAAAAAAAAACAAAAAATGCAAAAAAACAAAAAAAACCCAATGTACCAATTGGCATCCCCCACCAATCAAAATAAAAAAAAACCCAAACCCATCCATACAAACACACCCACAAAGGGGTGGACTGACCAAAAACACTCCCCACTGCCCCCCCCCCCCCCCCAGTAGGGGGCCCCAAAATGCCCCCCAAAAACCCCCCCACCATAAACTTTTTCCCAAAAACCCCCCCCCCCCCCAAAAAAAACCCCCCCCCCGGGGGCCCTATGTGTTGTCCCCAAAAACACCCCTGCACACAACATACATATACAACATAAAACCCCCAAAAACATACCCAAACCCCCCCCAAAACACACACAAATGCAAAAAAACAAACAAACAAAAAACACAACCCACATAAAAAAACCAAAACAGATTGGCACACACACCATTCCCAAAAAACCTCTACCCAAACCCCCACAACAAACACCCAACCCAAACACAACCCCCCCACACAAAAACACACACACCCCAATAAAACACACACACACCCCCCACATAACAAACACACACAAACAAACAACACATATGCACACCCCCAAACAAGCTAATACACACACACACACACACACACCACACACACCACACCACACACAACCACACAACACACACACACAAACACACAGCCCCTCGGCTGCTCATCTCCCTCCTTATCCCCCACATCCCGTAATGAGTTTATTTGTTTAACTCCCCGAATTAAACGCCGCTTCCAGTGCGGGTCTGGTAATATCACTCTCATCATGTCGAGAACATTTTCCTGCAGAGACCCATCTGAATAAGAGAAGGTCCCCGCGCTGAACTCAATCAGGGAAGCGTAATGTGCTGGGTAATAGAGGTGGCTGATAGATCTGGAGGCTAAGAGCTCTTTACCTAATGATGGGATATGGATAATGCTCCTCCTGCACGTCCTGATGTGATTCCAGTTGGATGCCAGATGCTAAAAAATCAAGGGAAGAGCAATGAGTGAGAGAGGCAGTCTGGAACACACTTATCGGAGAGGGCGAGGGGGGTCTTAAGCTTCCTTCCTTCATCCTGCCGTACGGTTAATCCAAGCTTAAATTATATTAATTGATTTAATTATATGCTTTAAAAACATCTCCGCACCCCCCCCCCCCCAATTAATTTAATTAGGCGGCTGCATGATGCGGCTGGTGAGGGGAGATTAAGGCCGTACTCGCTTTAATTAAAAGAATATGAATTAACACGGAAAGTGTGGGGTGGGGGGGTAGGTGGGAGGTAAAGCAAATATAAATGAAATGGTGCGCACTAATTAAAAGGCCGTGTTAAATACTTCTTGACAGAGCAATGACAGCGCAGAGGTGTTTAATCCCCCTGTAAGTGAGAAGAGGTTTGATTGTGAAACGTACGCAGGCCGCGCAATCTGTGCCTCCCCGCACTAAGCCACGCGCAGATTCTCCCGCTGCTTCGTGTTCGAGTCGCATGTCGGCCTTTCCACGCAGACGATAAGGGCGTTCGGCGGGCTGTTCGCCCATCACGATCCACGATGCGCTGACAGTGCATGGTGATTGGCCAAAGCAATGCACCTGACCACGGGTGCATGATGACGTCACAAGGGGTGGGGGGGCACCCAGTGACATCGATCAGGTGACCCTGCCCCCTTGCGACGTCATCACAGTATTTAAAGCAGAGCTCCAGCCAAAAGGGAAAGTTACGCTTTAAGGACTGCTCCCCCGCTCCCCATTAAAGATTGGCACCTTTGGGGGGTGCCCCCCACGTGAATGAGTATGGGGTACTCATTCACAAAAAGTGTAGTGTAAAAAATGACAAAAGACAGTCTTTGACAAATACTTTATTAAAGCAGAGCTCCACCCAAAAGGGGAAGTTTCGCTGTAAGGACTGCTCCCCATTAAGGACTGGCACCTCTGGGGGGGTGCCCCCTATGTGCATGAGTATGGGGTACTCATTCACAAAATGTGTAGTGTAAAAAATGACAAAAGACAGTCTTTGAAAAATACTTTATTAAAGCAGAGCTCCACCCAAAAGGGGAAGTTCCGCTTTAAGGACTGCTCCCCCGCTCCCTATTAAGGATTGGCACCTTTGGGGGACGGGGGGGAGCGGGTACTCGAATTTGACAAGTACCCGCTCCCACTTCCGGTCCGATCGCCTAGGCCAGGGGTAGGCAACCTGAGAGCCGCAGGATGACAAGTTCCATCATGCCTCTGCAAGTCATAGCTGTAACTGTCAGTTTTGTAATGTTGCAATGCCTCATGGGAAATGTAGTTCCACAACAGCTAGAGAGCAGCGGGTTGCCTACCCCTGGTCTAGGAAGTTGTCCTCCTACCCTCCCTGTAGTCTTTTGGGACACATGACAGGTCCCAGACGACTACAGGACCATTCATGAAGTGCAGCGCCACTCGCTCATGCGCAGTGGGTGACCCGGCTGTGAAGCCGCAAGCTGTCACAGCTGGGTGCCCACACTGAAGATGCCGGCCTCCTGGAATACAGGATGGCTGGTGAAACGGGCTGCGGGGGGACACACCACGGGACCGAGGGACAGGTAAGTGGCTGTTTTTTAAAAGTCAGCAGCTACAGTTTTTCCCACCTTAAAGCGGAGCTCCACCCAAAAAGGGGGAAGTTCCACTTTAAGGACTGCTCCCCCGCTCCCCATTAAGGATTGGCACCTTTGGGGGGCGGGTACCCGAAATTGACAGGTACCCGCTCCCACTACTGGACCTATCGCCTAGGCGATCGGAAGTGGAAGGTGTCCTCCCTCTCTCCCTCCCTGTAGTCTTTTGGGACACGTGACAGGTCCTAGAAGACTACAGGACCATTCACGAAGCGCAGCGCTACTCACGCATGCGCAGTGGGTACCTGGATGTGAAGCCGCAAGCAGTCACAGCCGGGTGCCCACACTGAAGATGCCGGCCTCCAGGAATCCAGGACGGCTGGTGAAACGAGCTGCGGGGGACACACCGCTGGACCGAGGGACAGGTAAGTGGCTGTTTTTTAAAAGTCAGCAGCTACAGTTTTTGTAGCTGCTGACTTTTATTTTTTGATAGGATGAGTGGAACTCCGCTTTAAGAACTGTCAAGCCGTCAGACAGCGGAAGCCAGCATCTAGAAAGGAGCGTTGTTTTTTTTTCGAGTCGGCGGTGGTGGCAGGCATCATGATTGATGTTGGATCTACTTCGGGGGACATTTTTTTTTCATTTTTGTTTTTAAAGCCGAGTTCCACCTGCAAAAAAAAAAAAGTCAGCAGCTACAAAAACTGTAGCTGCTGACTTAAAATACAGCCACTTACCTGTCCCTCGGTCCAGCGGAATCCTCACCACCGCTGGTTTTACCGTCCGTCTTCTCTCCCTGGCGCCGGCATCTTCATTGTGGACACCCGGCTGTGACAGCTTGCGGCTTCACAGCCGGGTGCCCACTGCGCATGCGTGAGAAGCGCTGTGCTTTGTCAATGGCCCCGTAGTCTCCTGGGACCTGTCACGTGTCCCAGAACACTACGGGGAGGGAGGGGGGAGGATAACGTCCGCTTCCGATCGCCTAGGTGATCGCAGCGGAAGAGGGAGCGGGTACCTGTCAAATTCGGGTACCCGCTCCCCAAAGGTGCCAATCCTTAATGGGGAGCGGGGAACAAAGGCTTAAAGTGGATCTTCCCCTTTTGGGTGGAGCTCCGCTTTAATAAAGGATTTGTCAAAGACTGTCTTTTGTCATTTTGCACACTACACATTTTGTGAATGAGTACCCCATACTCATTCACATAGGGGGGGGGGGGGCGCCCCCCAAAGGTGCCAAACCTTAATGGGGAGCGGGGGGGAGCAGTCCTTAAAGGGGGACGGGATCTGAGGGCCCCATTCTAGATTCTGATAAGCTCCCCAGCCCACAGACCACCACAACCATGGGACAAAGTGCTTTGGGAGGGGGGCAAGCCCCCATGCCCCAAAGTACCCCACCCCCATATTGAGGCCATGTGGCCTAGTGGGGTTTGGGGGGGGACAAGCTCCCATGCCCCAAAGTACCCCATCCCCATACTGAGGCCATGTGGCCTAGTGTGGTTTGGGGGGGGGGGCACTCGCCCGTCACCCCCTTTCCTGACCTGCCGGGCTGGTCTATTAGTCGATTAGTTCTAATGGCACGTCGCCCGCACTGGAAAACGCAACCATACTTGAAACCTCAGCTGCGTTTTCAGAAGAAGCGCCGGGACTTCTTCCCTGCGTGTCCCGGGCACGGGAGTCTGTTCAAGTGAATGGGCTCACGCGCCCGCGCAAAACGCAGCCCGCACGGCCGCATAGATGCGACTGGCTCCATGGTCTAGTAGTAGGACCCATATAAACGATCGGGAACTGACCTTGGCTCTAGATCGGCAGTTCTGTAAATGGTGGTCTCTGGATTCCAGCAACATCTTGTGGACTCGGGATTTCTGCACATACAGCAGCCAGGCGATGGCGATGACACCAGTGGCCCATCGTTGCTGGCGGTGGGTGAGGTACGCCGCTCTGTCTTTATACCCTCGCCATGCGGATTGGATCTTCAGAGCGGCTGCTGATCTTCCTTCTCTTCCCTTGTACCGCTGCCGGGGCTGGTTCATGAACGTGTGAACCCAGGATCTGTTCTCCAGCACCGACAGTAGCTGAGATGTTGATGGAGCCTTACCCAGCTCCACATCCAACGTAGCCATCTTCATCCTCTCTCCATTCACCACTGCAGCAGGAACCGCGTAATCCTGGAGGATTCTTAGTAAGCTCTCCAGGAAAGTCGTAAAACTCCCCCAACTAAGACAGTAATGCTGCCTAAAGGCCAAAAAGTCGTCAGCCTGGGGATCGATCGCACCGTCGTAGATGGTCAAAGACTGACCAATGGGAGCAGTGATGGCGGTCAACTCCCAAGGATCCTGCTGAATAAAATAGTAAGACAATGATAAGTATGGCGCTGAACAAATGAAATGCAATGATGCACTTTTAAAGCTCCGGAAGATTTAACCCCCTCCATGACCAGGCCAAAAATAATAGAATAGAATCTAAAAGAATAGATCAGAAAATCAAATAATAGAATAAAATCCAAAAGAATAGAATAGAAAATCAAATAATAGAATAAAATCTAAAAGAATAGAATAGAAAATCAAATAATAGAATAAAATCTAAAAGAATAGAATAGAAAAGAAAATAATAGAATAAAAACTAAAAGAATAGAATAGAAAAGAAAATAATAGAATAAAATATAAAAGAATAGAAACGAAAATAATAGAATAAAATCTAAAAGAACAGAATAGAAAATCAAATAGTAGAATAAAATCTAAAATAATAGAATAGAAAAGAAAATAATAGAATAAAATCTTAAAGAAATAGAAAAGAAAATAATAATAGAATAAAATCTAAAAGAACAGAATAGAAAAGAAAATAATAGAATAAAATCTAATAGAATAGAAAAGAAAATAATAGAATAAAATCTAAAAGAATAGAATAGAAAAGAAAATAATAGAATAAAAATCTAAAAGAACAGAATAGAAAAGAAAATAATAGAATAAAATCTAAAAGAATAGAAAAGAAAATAATAGAATAAAATCTAAAAGAACAGAATAGAAAAGAAAATAATAGAATAAAATCTAATAGAAATAGAAAAATAGAAAAAAATAAATAATAGAATAAAATCTAATAGAATAGAAAAGAAAATAATAGAATAAAATCTAAAATATTAGAATAGAAAAGAAAATAATAGAATAAAACAGAATATAATAAAATAGAAAATAAAAGGATATACCCCTCTCATGACCAGGCCATTTACTTGTTACTTTAATTGACAATTGCATGGTCATGCGATACTGTACCCAAATTAAATTTATGTTTTTTTTCACACAAATAGAGCTTTAGTTTGGTGGTATTTGATCACCACTGAGTTTTTTTTCTATTTTTTTGCGCTATAAATGAAAAAAAGACAAAATTAAAAACAAAACAAAAACAATATTATTTACTTACTGCTATTAAACATATCCAATAAAAAAATAATATAATAAAATCTACAAGAATAGAATAGAAAATAAAATAACAGAATAAAACAGAATAGAATAAAAAAGAAAATAAAGGGATATACCCCTCTCATGTCCAGGCCATTTTTTTTGCTACTCAGCACTACGTTACTTTAACTGACAATTGCAAGGTCATGCTACACTGTATCTAAATTAAATTTATACCTTTTTTTTTTACACAAATAGCGCTTTTGTTTAGTGGTATTTGATCACTAATGAGGTTCTTTTATTTTTTGTGCGCTATAAATGAAAAAAAAAAAAGACAAAATTAAAAAAAAACAAAACAATATTTACTTTTTGCTATAAAACATATCCAATAAAAATGTTTTTTTTTTTAAAATCTAATTTCTTCATTAATTTAGGCCAGTATGTATTCTGCTACATAGTTTTAGTAATAAAAAAAAAAAAATCACAAAAAAAAGAGTATACGGATTGGTTTGCGTGAAAGTTATCGTGTCTACAAACTATGGTACAATATACATACTTGAATTTTAATTAATTTAATTACTTAATTAATTTTTTTTCCCTATTGTACTAGTAATAGTGGCGCTCAGCGACTTATAGCAGGAGTGCGATACTATGGCGGGCAATCTGACACTAACTGACACTTTTGATGCTTTGTGAGAACCAGTGACACTAATACAGTGATCAGTGCTAAAAAATATGCACCGTCGCTGTATTAATGACACTGGCTGGGAAGGGGTTAAACATCTAGGGCGATCAAAGATTTAAACATGTGCCCTAACCAGTGTTTATGTGTGTACTGTGGGGTGCTTTCATTAAGGGATGTGCCGGTTTTTATCCCCTGCTTTGCAGGGAAACAAAAACTGGCACCTCCCTGCCAACAGGACAGAGCTCTGTATTGTTTACATTGACAGAGCTGTGCCCTGTCTTCCTCCTAGCCAATCAGGGGTTTTTTATCCCCTGCAATGAAGGGAAACAAAAACCGGCACATCCCCGCTGACAGGACAGAGCTCTGTATTGTTTACATTGACAGAGCTCTGCTCTGTCTTCTTCCTAGCCAATCAGGGGTTTTTATCCCCTGCAATGAAGAGAAACAAAAACCGGCACATCCCCGCTGACAGGACAGAGCTCTGTATTGTTTACATTGACAGAGCTGTGCCCTGTCTTCCAAAAACCGGCACATACAGCCTCTGTAACATCAGGGCTCTGTTTTTATCCCCCTGCAATGAAGGGAAACAAAAACCGGCACAACAAAACCGGCACATCCCCGCTGACAGGACAAAGCTCTGTATTGTTTTTACATTGACAGAGCTCTGCCCTGTCCTCCTCCTAGCCGATCAGTGGGTGCCGATGGTCAATCATTGGCCGGCACCTGCTAAGTGGCTTGTGCTGTGACTAATCACACTACAGCTGGTGTCCCGGTGGCAGCTCGCATGCCCTATCTGGAAATGCCGAATCACGTACTAGACATGTGATCCGACACAGGAGAGTCGCTCTGCCGTTGTACTCCTACAGTAGGCGATTGGCAAGCGGTTAAACACAAACCAGAGTCCTCCTGTAGACTGTTGTAGAACCCTCCTAGTTCAGAGTAGGTGGCTAGGTAAGTTTTGGTGGCTCTTCTCTAGACAGTGGAGCAGGAATTAGGGCTGTTGAGTGTCTCAGGGGCTGCTGCCCAGTTTTCTAGAGACTTCCTGATGTATAGTGGGAGGGAGACCAGAATGGAGTTCCAGCCAATCTCTGGGGAGGTGTGCCCAGAAAAGGTGGATGGAGAACCCATAAATATTATGAGGCCTGACAGCAGAGTGCAGATTTCCTACGTACAGTCCTTCAGGAGGAGATCCATGTTCTGGGGGCTCTGCCCCTGGGGCAGAGAGAGACAGAGAGGAAGTTCGAGGAGCCTCTGAGAACTTTTGTAGCTCCATTCAGGCAGATTGATGCATTCTGGTGCGTTTTCATACCCATAGAAATACAATGAAATGCGCAAATCGTGCATTTTTATGTGCTTTCATACGTTTTTCTGGCATGGCAAAACACAACAACAATTGATGTCAGAGATTAAAATTTTCTCTATTGGCTAATAAAAAACACCAGAACTCGAAAAGCCTGAAAACGTCAGAATAAATTGCGCACAAATATTTGCAAACGCGCATAAAACCACGAGACAAAACGCACACAAAATAATGCACAAAAACACTACGCTCAGATGTGAATGGTGCCTTACCCCTGGTTCATATATCTGCGTTTCCTGCGGTCCACGTTTTGCGCGGGCACGAGAGCCCATTTATTTGAATGGACTCCCGTGCCCGGGACACGCAGGGAAGAAGTCCCTGAACTCCTTTGGAAACCGCAGCCGAGGTTCCCAGTACGGTTGTGATTTCCAGTGTGGGAGGCGTGCCATTAGAATTAATGGCAACCACCCTGTGGGTCCGCATTCCTCTGTGCGGGTGGTGCGGCTGCACAGATTTTTGTGTAGATCCGCAGCGTCACCTCCGGCGCAGATGTGAACCTAGCCTTACAGTACAGAGCAGCCAAAAGTCTAGCAGTCCTCAATTTGCAGCAGCACAGTGGCTAACTCTAGGTTGACATCTGTGCGGGTGGTGCCGCTGCGGAGCCGCAAGAAAATCCGTGCAGCCGCACCATCTGCACAGAGGAATGCGGACCCACGGGCGGGTGCCATTAGTTCTAATGGCACACCGTACACTTGGGAAACGCAACCATGCTGGTAACCGAGGTTCCCATGCGGGCTGCGTTTTCCAAAGAAGTGCAGGGACTTCTTTCCCTGCGTGTCCCAGGGCACAGGAGTCCGTTCAAATGAATGGGCTCTCGTTCCCGTGCAAAACGCGGCCCGCACGGCCGCATAGATGTGAACCGGGGGTTAGTGGTTAGCACTTCCACCTGGCAGCACTAGAGTCTTTGGTTCAAATCCCAACCACGGCACCCCCTGCCTGGAGTTTGCATGTTCTCCCAGTGCCTGCGTGGGTTTCCTCTGGGTACTCCGGTTTCCTCCCACACTCCAAACACATGCGGGTAGGTGAATTGGCTCCTGTCTAAATTGTCCCTAGTATGTGTATGTATGAATGTAAGTTAGGGACCTTAGATTGTACGCTCCTTGAGGGTTAGGGACTAGGGTCTTTGGTTCGAATCCCAACCACGGCACCACCTGCCTGAAGCTTGCATGTTCTCCCTGTGTCTGCGTGGGTTTCCTCTGGGTACTCCAGTTTCCTCCCACACTCCAAAGACATGCTGGTAGGTGAATTGGCTCCTGTCTAAATTGTCCTAGTTTCATCCCTGGCCATGTGGATCTCCTGCATGGTGGGGGTTGGGGAAAGACCTGGCAACCTACCTTGTAAAATAATTGCTAAGAGAATTCATGGAAAAAGTTGCTTACGAGTGACAGTCCATGCAATCGCCAAGGGTCGGGTATGACTGGACGGACGGACGGACAGACAGACAGACGTGTATGTATGAATGTGAGTTGGGAACCTTAGATTGTTTGCCCCTTGCGGGTTAGGGACTAAGGTCATTGGTCTGAATCCCAACCATGGCACCACCTGCCTGCAGTTTGCATGTTCTCCCTGTGCCTGCGTGGGTTTCCTCCCACACTCCAAAGACATGCTGGTAGGTTAATTGGCTCCTGTCTAAATTGGCCCTAGTATGTGTATGTATGAATGTGAGTTAGGGACCTTAGATTGTACGCTCCTCGGGGGCGGGGACTGATGTGAATGTACAATATATGTAAAGTGCTGTGGAAATTGATGGCGCTATATAAGTACCTGTAATAAATAACTTTCGCCTGGCAGTACTAACGTCGTTGGTTCAAATCCCAACCACGGCACCACCTGCCTGGAGCTTGCATGTTCTCCTTGTGCCTGCGTGGGTTTCCTCTGGGTACTCCGGTTTCCTCCCACACTCCAAAGACATGCTGGTAGGTTAATTGGCTTCTGTCTAAATTGCCCCTAGTATGTGTATGTATGAATGTGAGTTAGGGACCTTAGATTATACACCCCTTGAGGGTTAGGGACTGATGTGAATGTACAATATATATGTAAAGCGCTGCGTACATTGCTGGTGCTATATAAGTACCTGAAATAAATAAATTGCGTATTTCCTCAGTTCCGGGGTATTCCATGCTCCCCATCCCCTCCCAAGTTCCTGTTGCCAATAAGAAACCTCTAAACTGATTCCTGAACCAAAGGAAGAACACTGAAAATGCCATGTACCTGGCTGCGCATGCTGTGAGTGGGGGGAAATCGGCCCAAATAACCAGCGGCTCCTGCGGGGGAAGCGCTATACTACAATTTCATTGCTTTGTGGCAAGCAGATGTAAAACTGCTGGGGAGGTAGGAAGACCATAAAGCCCAGCTGTGCCTAGGCCTGGAGGAACATGATCATTATCTCCGGGGTCAGTCCTGGTAGATCTGTTAATATATGAGATGGTATGTGAAATACATCGGGACTTTGGTGTAGATTGTACTGAACACAAATACGCAGATTGTCCTTGGATCATCACGAGGCGTCCACATCTGTTACCGCCCCAAGGGACAGAAACAAGTGAGATGACCCGAGAAGAAGACGTCATGTCGTAAAATGTTCTGTACATACGTACCTGTGATCGGGGAGACTCGCTGGCTTCTCTTTCTTGGTTTGTCACATTGGCTGATGTCCTTGTAGTTTGTTTGGAAACGTTGTGACGTGCTGAAGCAAATGGCATTTCCGTTCCATTGGGCGATCGCTGGGAATCTAAGTGGTCCTGGTCTTCTCCATGCGAATCCTCTTCTGACGGCTTGACACGGCCTTTCCCTATATAACATGTTATTATGGAACTTGTAAAAAAAACAATTTCTTTTATTTCTTTGATCCAGTTCAGCCTTTCCTCAACGTTGTTACCCCAGAGGAACCCTCAAGAATCATGTTTAGGGCTCATGTACACTGCAGCTGATAAACTCGCGTTCAGGAGCTGTTCTGCGTTTTTCTCAGCAGCCCCTGAACTCTCCCTAATGTTCTCCTCTGTGTCCGTGTACACATCGTCGTTTACAGGCAGTTGAGTTTACAGTCATTTTTTTTGAACACAACAAACTTGCATTCAGATGTCGATTCTATCAGCATTTCAAATGCAAAACGCAGCTAAAACGTGTTTATAAGCATTTGCGCTTTAATTTTTTTTTTAACTCTTCCAGTTCCCAATGCTGTCCAGAGCCTTTTTCATCATGAAAAATGCATGCAAAGCATGTTCAAGGTGCTTAGATGGACAAAACACACTGAACACAGGATGTTCCTACTAAGCTTGTCACACATTGGAATGACCAATTCACACCTCAGACCTCTCCCACCCTTGGAAACAAAAGATATGTTAATGACCATTCACACCTCAGACCTCTCCCGCCCTTGGAAACAAAAGATATGTTAATGACCATTCACACCTCAGACCTCTCCCACCCTTGGAAACAAAAGATGTTAATGACCAATTCACACCTCAGACACCTTTCCCACCCTTGGAAACAAAAGATATGCTAATGCCCATTCACACCTCAAATTCCTCAAGAAGACCCCCTGCCAGGTGACCTTAATGACTCCCTCACACCAGACCCTTTCCCACCCTTGGAAACAAAAGAAACGTTAATGACCAATTCACACCTCTGACCTCTCCCACCCTTGGAAACAAAAGATATGTTAATGACCATTCACACCTCAGACCTCTCCCACCCTTAGAAGAAAAAAGATATGTTAATAACCAATTCCCACCTCAGACCTCTCCCACCCTTGGAAAAACAAAAGATATGTTAATAACCAATTCACACCTCAGACCTTTCCCACCCTTGGAAACAAAAGATATGTTAATGACCATTCACACCTCAAATTCCTCATGAAGACCCCCTGCCAGGTGGCCTTAATGACTCACCCACCAGACACCTTTCCCACCCTTGGAAACAAAAGAAATGTTAATGAGCAACTCACACCTAAGCTAATCTCCACACATACTGCTGTCTCTGCTTCTACTCTCTGTATTTCTCTGAAACAGTCTGAAATAGTTAATAATTTATCACTTTTCAGTGCATTCTGGGCATTTGGGGTTCTCCTGTGCTTATCTTCAAAAAACACTTCTGAACGCAAACGCAGCTAAACGCGGTATGCAAACGCGGCAAAACGAACGTTTTTTTTAAACCTGCATTTTCCTGCTGTCATTTTCCAGCTTTCAGAAGTGTTCTCCAAACGTCCCATGTACATGAGCCCTTAGGTCTCAGGGAACTCCTGGTAAAATCAATTTATTGGGGGACAGTAGGAAGTGTGCCCCTTACATTGGTGGTCACTGTGAAGAATTACAGTGGTGGTCACAACTTCACTGTTACTGACAGCCAGGGCTTTTTTTTCAGCAGGAACGCGGGGGAACGTGGCACTGCAAGTATGTTTGGCAAAGGCTGCTGGGGTGTGCTGCAGAGTCTATTGTTGCTGGCTCCTGGGGATCTATTTTTCCAAGGAGGTCTATTGTTGCTGGAAGGGATCTACTGGTGAGGGAGGAGTCTATTGATGCTGGCTCCTGGGCATCTATTGTTGTGAGTGGGTCTATTGTTGCTAGAGGGGATCAGTTGTTGCTAAGGAGGATCTACTGGTCAGAGGGGGTCTGCTGTTGCTGGCTGCTAAAGGGTCCATTGATGCTGGCTTCTGGGGATCTATTGTCATGAGGGGGTCTTTGGTTACTAGAGAGGGCCAGTTGTTGCTGATAGGGATCTACTGTTGAGGGAGGGGTTTAATGTTGCTGGCTGCTGGAGGATCTATTGATGCTGGCTGCTAGGTATCTAATGTTGCGAGGGGCTCAATTGTTGCTGGCAGCTGGAGGGTCAATTGGTGTTGCCTTCTGGGAGATCTATTGCTGATGGGGTGAATCTAGTGTTGCTGGAGGGGTCTGTTGTTGCTGGAAGGGATCTACTGGTGAGGGAGGAGTCTATTGATGCTGGCTCCTGGGGATCTACTGTCGTGAGTGGGTCTATTGTTGTTAGAGGGAATCAGTTGTTGCTAAGAAGGATCTACTGGTCAAGGGGGTCTCCTGTTGCTGGCTGCTGAAGGGTCTATTAATGATGGCTTCTGGGATCTACTCCTGTTAGGGGGTCTTGTGTTACTGGAGAGGGTCGGTTGTTGCTGATATGGTTCTTCTGTTGAGGGAGGGGTTTATTGTCGCTGGCTGCTGAAGGATCTATTGATGCTGGCTTCTGGGGATCTATTGTCGTGAGGGGGTCTTGTGTTACTAGAGAGGGCCAGTTGTTGCTGATAGGGATCTACTGTTGAGGGAGGGGTTTAATGTTGCTGGCTGCTGGAGGGTCTATTGATGCAGGCCGTTGGGGATCTAATGTTGCAAGGGGGTCTATTGTTGCTGGAGGGGGGCAGTTGTTGCTGATAGGGATCTACTGTTGAGAGAGGGTTTTTTGTTGCTGGAGGGTCTATTGATGCTGGCTGCTGGGGATCTATTGTTGCTGGAGAGGGTATGTTGTTGATGGAAGGGATCTACTGTTGTGGGAGAGGTCAATTGTTGCTGGCAGCTGGAGGGTCTATTGGTGTTGGCTTCTGGGAGATCTACTGTTTGGGGTGGATCTAGTATTGCTGATGGGGTGAATCTAGTGTTGCTGTAGGGGTCTGTTGTTTCTGAAAGGGATCTACTGGTGAGGGAAGAGTTTGGACAGCATAGGTCTAACTGTGTGCTGTGTGTGTGTACATCACTGTAAGCACGCTGCTTTGTATGGCTCTGCTATGCATAGCCATACAAAGCAGTGTGCAGGAGCTGACAGGGGAGAGATCTGTATTGTTTACATACAGGTCTCTCCCCTGTTGGAAATCCTCGGATATTGCCGGGTGCCGGTGCGGAAACACCGGCCGGGACCTGGTGATTGACAGTTGAGACCATGAATGGCGGCACGGGTAGGGCACGCGCGCGCCCTACCCAGAACTGCAAAATCATATATATTTATTAGTATACAGGATTTATAGAGCGCCAACAGTTTGCGCATCGCTTTACAATATAATATATGTTTATATATATATATGTAATATACGCTTTACAATATATGTGATTTTGCGCGCCCGTGCCGCCCTGTAGCAGTATTTCTAGCGGTTAAAAATCAGCCAGTGTGCATGGAGCCTTCACATTTCCCGTTAGGCGGGTGTTTATCATGGCAGGTCTCTTCTGTGTTCATAGCAGAAACACCTCACTTATCATGATGTTATCTCTCCCAGTCATGTGCAAGTGCTGGTGATATGTCACACTATGTGATGAAGAAATGTGGCTTCAAAGCTGCAGATTACATGACAATGAGTCTCCATTATGAAGCCATTATGGGTGCCAAACCAGCTGCTGACAAAGGCCTGTGACTGCAATCACACTGGAAATAATTCCATTATAGGTCCAATTAACACATCTATTCTTATTGCTGTCAATCAATTCCTGATAAAAAGGGGCACTCTTGGACCCCTGAAATGAGGCACTCTTGGACCCCTGGAATGGGGCACTCTTGGACCTCTGAAATGGGGCACTCTTGGACCTCTGAAATGGGGCACTCTTGGACCCCTGGAATGGGGCACTCTTGGACCCCTGGAATGGTGCACTCTTGGACCCCTGGAATGGGGCACTCTTGGACCTCTGAAATGGGGCACTCGTGGACCTCTGAAATGGGGCAATCTTGGACCCCTGAAATGCGTTACTTTGTAGACTGTACTCCTGACTTTTTTGTATTAGAATAATATTGTATTTGGACCTCTCAGCAGTGGTGTGGCACTTCAATGTCAATGTTTGTTCCATTAGGAATTCATCTTATATCCCCTACATTAGTTGCATTACACTGGTAAACGTGTAGTCAGTCCTGGTTGAACACCGCACACCAAACAGCTCCATGTGCTAGCAAGATGGAAAGTGGCTTCTCCCAATTGGCTACATTAGGGGCATTTCGTCCTATGCCAGGGGCTTGGTTATACAGGTAAGTCAGAAGTGGCTTCTCCCAATAGGCCACATTAGGGGAATTTCGTCCTATGTGGGTGACACATTTTGTCCTATGCTACTGACGCATTTCGTCCTATGCCTGGTGCTTGGTTATATAGGTAAGTCAGAAGTGGCTTCTCTCAATTGGAAAGCGGCTTTTCCCAATAGGCCACATTAGGAGCATTTTGTCCTATGCTACTGATGCTTTTTGTCCTATGTCACTGACACATTTCGTCCTTTGGCACTAACGCATTTCATCCTATGCCCAGGCTTACTTATACAGGTATGTCAGAAGTGGTTTCTCCCAATTGGAAAACGGCTTCTACCAATAGGCCACATTAGGGGTAATTTCGTCCTATGGCCCTGCCGCATTTCATCCTATGCCACTTACGCATTTCATCCTATGCCCAGGGCTTAGTTATACAGGTATGTCAGAAGTGGCTTCTCCCGATTGGAAAGCGGCTTCTCCCAATAGGCCACATTAGGGGTCATTTCGTTCTATGGCTCTGCCGTACATCATCCTATGCCACTGACGCATTTCGTCCTATGCCAGGGGCTTGGTTATACAGGTATGTCAGAAGTGGCTCCTCCCAATTGGAAAGCAGCTTCTCCCAATTGGCCACATTAGGGGCATTTCATCCTATGCCACTGATGCATTTCGTCCTATGCCCGGGGCTTGGTTATACAGGTAAGTCAGAAGTGGCTTCACGCAATTCGAAAGTGGCTTCTCCCAATAGGCCACATTAGGGGAATTTCGTCCTATGTGGGTGACGCATTTTGTCCTATGCTACTGATGCATTTCGTCCTATGGCCCGGGGCTTGGATATACAGGTATGTCAGAAGTGGCTTCTCCCAAGGAGAGCGGCTTCTCCCAATTGGCCACATTAGGGGCATTTCGTCCTATGCTACTGATGCATTTCATCCTATGCCACTGACACATTTCGTCCTTTGGCACTAACGCATTTCATCCTATGCCCGGGTCTTGGTTATACAGGTAAGTCAGAAGTGGCTTCTCCCAATTGGAAAGCGGCTTCTCCCAATAGGCCACATTAGGGTTCATTTTGTCCTATGCTCAGGTCTTGGTTATACAGGTATGTCAGAAGTGGCTTTTCCCAATAGGCCACATTAGGGGCATTTCGTCTTATGCCACTGACGCATTTCGTCCTATGCCCGGGACTTGGCTTTCAGGTAAGTCAGAAGTGGCTTCTCCCAACTGGAAAGCGGCTTCTCCCAATAGGCCACATTAGGTGCATTTCGTCCTATGCCACTGACGCATTTCGTCCTATGCCCAGGGCTTGGTTATACAGGTATGTCAGAAGTGACTAATGCTGAGGAAGGGGGCAGCAGACAGAAATGACAATCAGGGGGTTAATTACTAAAACTGAAGAGTAGTGCAAAATCTGGTGCAGCTCTGCATAGAAACCAATCAGCTTCCAGGTATTATTGCCAGAGCTTAAATGAACAAGCTGAAGTTAGAAGCTGATTGGCTGCCATGCACAGCTGCACCAGATTCTGAGTGCTCCAGTTCTAGTAAATCTCCCCGATCATGCTCTGGACTGAGACAAGTACACACTATAGAGGGATATGCTTTGTTCATATTTCATTTCTGAAGTTTACAACCGCTTCATTTGAACAAGCTGAAGTTAGAAGCTGATTGGCTACCCTGCAGAGCTGTACCAGGTCCTGAGTGTACCAGTTTTAGCAGATATGAGCTACAAAAAGATCAAACTCTTCAAAGACCAAACACACCACCATACCGTGTACAAAAATTAAAAAAAATAATAAAACCTTCAGCACATCTACCTTGTGAATTAGAAGCTGTCCAGCGAGACTGAGAACTACGCAGGGCCAGGTTATGGGGCTGAATGGCAGGAGGAACCAAGGTGAGCCGAGCAGCTGGAGGAATGAGACCTCTCTGCAGTAGACTGAGGATTCCTAAAGGGTGAAATATGGGGGGTTATAAACGAATATACAAAAGAGATTCTGTATGTTCCAAAATTCTGACATTTTTATACTGTAAAAGGAAATGATACTTCATAAATCTTTTATATTATTTATTACAGTGAAAATTCCACTTGGGAAATATTGATAGAATGGGAAGGAGCAAGTATCTCAGTTTTTTTGGACTAAATTTGGAAGATTTCCCCTCACTTTATGCCTCTCTGACGGGTGTCACTAGGACAGGAAGTGAGGGGAAATCCCTCAAAAAGTGAAACACATAGCAATACAAATCTTCCTTGTAACCGGTCCGGCTTGACCCTGACCTGCCTTTGGATTCCGCTCTGTAACTCTGTTTGGACATCTGCAGATCCAGTTTCTGTTTTCTCTGCTTTGTCTCTGACTCTGATGCTATGATTTGGTACTCCACTGCCCACTGGTTGGGGATCTTGGCCTGCTCTGTGACTTTGCTTTGGCCTCTGACTTAGTCTCATACCACCCTTCGGATACCTTCCCTGGTCTACTCTGAGATCCATCTGTGGACTTTCATGAGTTCTCCTTCTGCTGGCCTGCTGGTGTCATCACAGACCTTGCTGGGGATGCTAAACATCACTGTAGTAGCCCGCTCTGCATACATTGCTAGATGTGGTGTTCTGGGTGCTGCTTCAAATTCTATTGGAGATACAGCACCAGCAGGGGCGGACTGACAACTCATGGGGCCCCCAGGCAATAGGGGATCATGGGGCCCCTTGTGTCCTTGCGCACACTCAAAAAAGCCTATAAAAAAAAGGTACCAGGGGCATTTCATGGGGCCCCCTACTGACCCCGGGCCCTCAGGCAGCGCTCGGATGGTCAGTCCACCCCTGAGCACCAGCATAACAAACCTGTAATGAAGGGTGTCCCATGTCCTGCTGGCCGCTGCTTACTGTAGGAAGCTTCCCTTCACTGACACCAGATACTCCCCACATCGGTGAACCTTTCAAGGCTGCCGAGGTTCAGATTAGCAGCTGCAAATGTGAAGTATTGGTGCCGCTCCCAGCCATTTATAGGATTTGTAGTATATTTTTTACCAGAATAGAACACACTGTGAATCGAGGAGGGGTCAGGGGCGGACTGACAACTCATGGTGCCCCCGGGCAATAGGGGATCATGGGGCCCCTGTGTCCTTGCCCAAACTTAAAAAAGCCTATGAAAAAGGTACCAGGAGCCCCCTACTGACCCCGGGCCCTTGGGCAGTGCCCGAGTTTCCAAATGGTCAGTCTGCCCCTGGGAGGGGTGCATGAACGACAGGATCCGCCTCCTCCACACTCTGCATTAAAAAAATTCTACAGCGGATATAGAAAAGAATCAACCACCCTTTAAAATAATCAAATTTTGTTGCTTTGCAGCCTGAAATGAAGACAGACACCGTTTTTGTTTTATCCAGCTGTATTTACTCAGTGCAACTTATAACATCCAAGTAAAAGACAGAACACCAACATGTTGGAAACTAAAAAAATCAAAAACAGAATTACCCCCCTCCTAAAATGACTTGTAAACTCAATCAGCTGTAGGTAATCACCTTCTCCAAGGCACACAAAGCCATTTGACTTTCAGCTGTGATCATTTTGATTGGCTTAGAATGAAAAGAGCTTTCCTGGAGCATTTCAGTCCCGGTAGTGCAACTGAAGCAAACAATCAACTATGGGTGGAAAGGCACTGTCAGAAGATTTCCAGGATAAAGTTGTGGACAGGCACAAGTCAGGAGATGGATACAAAAAAAGGTCAAAGGCTTTATCAATGCCTAGAAGCAGAGTGAAGTCTATTATTAAGAAGTGGAAGGTATTTGGTAGAAGACAGACCCTCCCTGGATCAGGACGTCGCTCCAAACTGGATGAAAGAGCCAGGAGGAAACTGGCCAGAGAGGCTACCTAGAGGCCTACAGCAACTCTGAAGCCGTGTCAGGAATTGATGACAAAGAGTGGCTGTTGTGTGCGTGTGACAACAATATCACAAATCCTCCACAAATGTGGCTTGTATGGGAGGGGTGCAAGAAAAAAGCTGCTCCTCAAGAAAGGCCGCATGCCGTCACCACTGAGCATTGCCAAAACGTAAGTTGAAGATTCTGAGAACACAAGAAAAAAGGTGCTCTGGTCAGATGTGACTGAAATGGAATGATTTGGCCTCAACACTAAACAATATGTCTGGCGGAAACCCAATACAGCTCAAAATCCAAACACCACCATTCCTACAGTAAAGCATGGAGGGGGCAATATCCTGTTATGGGGGGGGTGGTAATAGCATGTTGGGGGGGGTGGTAATATCCTGTTATGGGGGGTTTCTGCAGCAGAGACTGGAGCACTTGTCAGGATGGAAGGAAAAATGGAAGGGGCAAAATAACGTCACATTCTGGAGGAAAATCTGCTGCCCTCTGCCAGAATGTGATCAATGGGAAGAAGGTTTACCTTCCAACATGACAATCAGCCAAAGCACACAGCAACAATGGCCCCCCCAGTGGTTGGAGGAGAAGGAGGTGAATGTCCTTGCATGGCCTAGTCAGAGCCCAGACTTCAACCCCATTGAAAATCTGTGGAATGACTTGAAGACTGCCGTCCACAAACCGCCACCATCAAATGTCACTGAACTTGAGCAGTTCTGCAAAGAAGAGCGGGCAAATATCGCAAAGTCTAGATGTGCAAAGTTAGTAGAGACATCCCAACAGACTAAAGGCTGGAATTAAAGCAAAAGGGGGTTCAACAAAATACTGACACAAGGGAGAATCCTTTTTCCAACTCAGAGATTCTGTTTTTTTTTTTCTTTTCTGACATGTCGATGTTCTATCTTTCACTTGGATGTTATAAGTTGCACTGAGTAAATACAGCTCGATAAAACAAAAACTGTGTTTGTCTTCATTTCTGGCTGCAAAGCAACAAAGTGTGATTATTTTAAAGGGTGGCTGATTCTTTTCTATACCCATTGTAGAATGTTTTAATACAAAGTGTTCTGTGATTAGAGGAGGCGGATAGTGTCATTCATGCATCCCTCCTCTATTCACAGTGGGTTCCATTCTGGTAAAAAAATACTACAAATTCTATAAATGGGGGAGGGGGGCGTAATTTTTTTTTCTATGCCCACTGTATATTATGCAGCTTACCAATCCTTGAGGTTAGCTTCACACTAGCCCGCACTGTGCAGGGGGGTTGCAGGTGCGGGAATTGTGTCTGTCCCCGCCATTTGCAACCACCTGCAGCCAAATCGTACTGCTCTTAACAGACTCATCTCAAACTGCAGAAGGGGTGCGGGAACCGCGGAGAGATTGCATGCTCAATAGCACCGTGCAATTTCCCTGCAGCCGCGTTTTGAAAAAACATACTACACAAGCACACGTGAAGATATTTGAAGATATTTGGACAGTTCACTATCTTCACGTGTCAGGAATGGACTCGCCAATGGTGGTGGGACTCACCTGCCTTGTGGGCTGCAGTACCAAGGCTGGCCAGCGGGTGCTTTTAGCAGCCAGAATCTCACTCCTGCAATCAGGCCATCACCTGAGGCTGATTGCAGGAGGTGTATTTAAGCAGGACCAGGCCTGTGATCAGCGCCTTGGTGTATGTTTCCCATGAGCCCCTGTACCTGCATCCTGTCTGCTTCCTGCCTGATCCTGACTCTGAATGAACTCCGCCTGTCCTGACCTCGGCTATTCCTGACCACTCTTCTGCTCGCTCCTGGTACCCTGTTTGCCTGTTAGCTACTGACCCGGCCCGCCTGACTACGTTGTGCTCCATATATATATACATATACATATATATATATATATATATATATATATATCAGTTTAGGTTTGTTTCACCTTGTTGTATGTATTTGTGTTAGTTTTGGGTTTGGTTTGTTGCACTGCGTTTATGTTTGTGTTGTCCTTAATAAATTATCTTGTTTACACGCTATACCTGAAGTCTGTGTTTCCCTGTGTCGGTCCACACACCTCTGGTCATTCCCGAAGCCCTGATATCACGTGTGCTTGTGCGGTATGCGAAGATATTTGATATTTGAAAATATTTGAGATTTAAAAGGATAGTTCACTATTAAGTACAATTTATTTGGTATTTATATTCATTTTAGCATTGTTATGTGCAAGTCGATGAACTGTCCCTTTGTGATAACATTTTTGCCCTTTCTGTTTCAGTTTTCTCCCCTTGGTAAAGCTGTACATGTTTAGTAGCTGTTATGTAGACAGGCACTCTGTTTGTTTAGGGAAATGTGACCTTGTAGTCTTTCACTTCTATAGAGTTCATACTGTATTGTTGGTTGTAGGGTTTTGTTGTGGGTGGGGGAAAACCCGGTGCCAGACTGTCTGGTGGGGGTGGGGGTGAAGCTGTATATAATGAACTGTGTTTAATAAAGAGCCATTCATTTCACCCTACACGAAGTTCCGACTCGTGGTTTGGGATATCAGGGAAGGATTGGTTTTGAGCTCTAATACCTGCCTTGGCCGAGCGCTGGAAGACTTGCCAGAAAAGGGGACCATTTGCTGAGACGCATCGCTCCGCCCAGGCGGAATGGTTCCGCCACATATGCGTTGAGAAGATATTGGGTGTAGCACATATCTATTGTCACAAACACCATTTCTCCTTCACTATTCCTATATGCTTGTTAGTATTAGCACCATTAGAGTTTATACTGTTGCGCTGCATTTTTTATTTTGATTTATGGTTTACATGTGGGAACACATTATATGCTAGCTGCACAACTTGTTTTGTAGGAGTTTATTGCGCTGAGGGTTTTCTATACACATTGTTATCTAGTTATCCTTACCAGATGTCTAGGCCCCTGCATGGGCCTCATTGTTGTTGTTTCTCTCTTTCTAGAACCAATAAAATTAATTGCAACTGAGAGAAAAAAAAATCTTTACTTTCAGAAGGAACATGTGAAGTGTTAAATAATGAACCAATAGAGCCCCATCCTCCGGAGTATGGGGGGATCGGAGCGGACGGAGCGTGCTTGTCGGATCCGGTAGGAGTGCGGGACATCCCGGTGTGAGGGACGGAGGAGGTCCCGCTGCCATAGAGGGGAACCACCCGCGGCAGGCAGAGTGCGGGCTGAGAGCAGGGGAGGAGGAGGAGATCAGCCCGGACACCGAGGACTCAGCCAGAGCCGGCCGATCCGCCGCCTGCACGAGCATACAGACACTGGATTGATGTCCTGAGGAAGTCGCGTCAATGACAACAGCAAGGCCTTGCAATACGGAGCCCGGCTGCAGTTCAGATTTGCTTCCAATGGAATCTTTCCTTCATGTCTCCGTGGACCACCAATAGATTCACGACAGCTGGAGCTCTTTCAACTTTTACAGCCCCAGAGTGATTCCTGTGTAAGCTCCTGAGAGGGGGAACTACATCTTGGCAAAGATTTCTCTGACCTGCTGGACCACATCTTCACCACACGAGGGCGCTTCATCTTCACTTTTTTCCAGCTTTTACCCGTGATCAGACCAGAAAAGAGAGGGGAATCTTCAGGATATTTACTCACATGCGTATTACCAATACGCTTCTGGTTAGTGCGCATTTCTACAGAGTTCATACTGTATCCCTGCACTGGGAATCAACGAGCACCTTTTTACTGGACTGTGACCTATTGTTATCCATTTATTAATATCACCACTTATGATATAGTAATACCAGATAGCGCTGCATTTTTATATACATGTGTTAAATAATGTTGCATTTATTTTAACAGGAACATTCAGTCTGAACATCAAACCCAAAATAGAATCGATTTAAAAAAAAAAAACAAAACTACTATTAATCACCCCTTTAGGGAAGGAAATACGGCCCTCACCTCATATTGGAGATGTACATAGTCTGGAACATATATTACCGTATGCGGTCATGGGCCATGAGGGAAAACAGGTGTTAGGTACAAGTCATCCTCCAGCATAGTCTTTGTGTTGTCTGTATTGGGTGATCTCACCTTTTTGTACGTCTTTTTCAGGCACTGGTGGTGGAGTCAGAGAGGCATCCATACGGTGAGAAGCCGGTAACACTGAAAGATTGTTGGTGGTAGGACCTTTGACAATCTTCTCCATTGGCACCTAGAAGAAGCAGCATTTAACCCAATGCATGCGAAGTCACCACCATTATAAAATAATAATTATTATGATTATTATTATTACATCGAGTTTATATAGCGCCAAAGGGTTTGCTCAGCGCTGTACAATAGGGGACAATACATGGCACAGTACAACAAAAACAGACAGCGTACGAGGGGTAAGAGGGCCCTACTCTTTCAAGCTTACAATCTAGGAGGGAGGGGATAGTGGAACAATAGGAAGTGGCTGAGGGGAATGAAGTGGCTGAGGGGAATGAAGTGGCTGAGGGGATGAAGTGGCTGAGGGGGATGAAGTGGTGGGAGGAATGACGGAGGATGGCCGTTAGGTGAGGGTAATGCTCAGTGATATCCTTCTTCTGTGATGTAGAAGAAGGGACATGCTTTATGACAGTGGTCCCCAATCTCAGTCCTTAAAGCAGAGCTCCACCCAAAAGGGGAAGTTCCACTTTAAGGACTGCTCCCCCACTCCCCATTAAGGATTGTTACCTTTGGGGAGCGGGTACCCGAATTTGACAGGTACCCGCTTCCACTTCCAGTCCGATCGCCTAGGCGATCGGAAGTGGAAGGTGTCCTCCCTCCCTCCCTCCCTCCCTCCCTGTAGTCTTTTGGGACACGTGACAGGTCCCAGAAGACTACAGGACCATTCATGAAGCGCAGCGCTACTCGCGCATGCGCAGTGGGTACCCAGCTGTGAAGCGCAAGCTATCACAGCCAGGTGCCCGCACTGAAGATGCCAGCCTCCTGGAATACAGGACGGCCGGTGAAACGAGCTGCGGGGGACACACCGCGGGACTGAAGGAGAGGTAAGGTAAGTGGCTGTTTTTAAAAAGTTTGCAGAGAGGCACATGGGGGAAGAAATATTATGAGCTCAGTTTTGGATAGATTGAGTTTTAGGAAGTGGTGTGACATCCAGTCTGATATGTCTGTTAGTAAATCGGTGATACGTGAGGAAACTAATGGGGTGAGCTGAGGAGTAGAGAGATAGATTTGGGTGTCATCAGCATAGAAATGGTATTGGAAACCAAGGGAAGCTATCAGCTGACCCAAGGAAGAAGTGAAGATGGAGAACAGGAGAGGTCCAAAGGACAGAACCTTGGGGGACCCCAACAGTAAAAGGAGTAGGAGAGGAGGAAGTAGAGTTTTTTATTTTTTGTTGTTGGAAGTATAAAGGTCCTTTATATCTCAGGTATTTCCTAATTATTGGTAAGTTGCATAACATTAAAAGGGACCCAAAAGCTAGTGGAGATCCCTGTAGATGCCCCTGGAATCCGGAAGTCACTGAAGTAGACACCACTACTACACCGCTACTACAGGGATGTCCACTAGCTTTTGGGTCCCATGCTGAGCAGCTGCTCTGCTGCATTGTGAACACAGGAGGTCGGCTGCTTGGCATTAGCACCATTCAGAGAATGTTTTGCATCTTCTAAATGAATGCAAAGCATTCTTTGATTGGACGAGGTAGAGAGTGTGACATCACCACCCTGCTTCTTCACCTTGTCCAGTCAGAGAACTCTTTGCATTCATTCATTCAGAAGATGAAAAGCATTCTCTTAATGGCACCCATGCCAAGGAGCACACCTCCTGTCTGTATTCACAGCGCAGTAGGGCAGCTGCAGAGCCAGTGCAAGGATCCCAGTCCACACAGTCGAAGATGCACCCCCCCCCCCTTGCGCACCCACAATCCCAACAAAATTGCATTGAGGCAGCGGGTCCACCCACTGTCCACAGCCGTGCTGGACCCCCCCCCCCCATGCAATGCAAGGGGGTGCAGCGTGAAGGACGCCACACACCAAAAACCCAAGCCATACCAAACTGCCACCAAACAGCAGTGTTTATTGCGGGGGGGGGTGGGGCAATACACTCCCCGCCTCCCCTCACTGGCCACGGCAGGTGGCAAGCAAGGCAAACCAAATCTTCACGCTGCACCCAGTAGGAGACAGGGTGCAGCGCAAGCAAAAGGTAAGACAAGTATTTTAAAAATCCCAGCAAGTTGCTGGGAAATCAGGTATTTCCGCACCCCCTAAGGCAGTCGCTCTGCATGTGACCCGGAAGCAAGTGGAGATCACTGTAGTAGCAGTGTAGTAGTGGTGGCTAATACAATGTTTTCCAGCTTCTAGGGGGATCCCACAGGTATGGTATATATCGGGTGTTAGCAACCCATCGATCGTGAGTAGGTGATGGGTAGACCACGATCCTTCCATGCAGACCCCTGGGATTTGTACAGGAGGGGTATTGGTGGCAGCATTTACTTGTACTGTTCCCCTTCCCTCCTGCAGCCACTGAAAGCTGCCTCTCCTCCTCTACCTCCTGCTGGCATTCAGCAGCTGCAGGAGGAAAGGGGATCAGTACCAGTATACGGTACCAGTATATGCCGCCCCTGCCACCCCTCCTGTCCCTGTTCCTCCTTTTGGGCTGCCCAGTGCCCCATGTGCTCCCTGTGTCCCCCCGCCCCCTTCCCTCTTCCCAGCTGCAGCGCTGCCGGCTTCCCTCCTCCCCTGACACAGAGGATGTTTCAGGACAGCAGGGAAGGGGCTGATAAATATTTAGTTAATCGGCCCCTTCCTGTTTCTGAATGAACATAGTGAGCGATCGATACCAGTTGTTCCTGTGTCCATTCATAACTGAAGCATAATAAACTGTATTTGCTGTGCTTCAGTTTGTAAATGAACAAGAAGCCACTCGGCACAGAGCACTTCTCATTCACTCACTGTCCGATGCAGCTGAGGCTGCAGAGAAAGGGAATGGGGAATTTCTGTCCTCAGTCCCTTTCTCTGTCTCAAAAGTGAGACATCGGGGGTCTATTTAGACTCATGATATTTCACCAAAGCCTCGCAATGGGACTCCTAAAAATATTGTAAAAATGAATAAATCAATAAAATTTAACATACAAAAAAAAATAATAATTGTAAAAATAAATAAATAAAAAACTACTAACACTGTCCACTGCTCAACTGATATCAATCTCTACCTTACTGACACGTCCACTGCTTTACTGACACTGTCCACTGTCCTTCTGGCACCATCCTCTGCCCTACCGACACCATCCTCTGCCCTACTGACACCATCCTCTGCCCTACTGACACCATCCTCTGCCCTACTGACACCCATGCTACTGACCCTGTCCACACATCATCCACTGCCCCAATGACATCATCCACTGCTCTACCGACATCAGCCACTGCCCTGCTGGCACCATCCACTGTCCTATTGGCAGCATCCACTGTCCTACTGACACCATCCTCTGCCCTACTGACACCATCCTCTGCCCTACTGACACTGTCCACACATCATCCACTGCCCCACTGACATTGTCCACTGCTCTACTGACATCAGCCACTGCCCTACTGGCATCGTCCACTGTCCTACTGGCAGCATCCACTGTCCTACTGGCACCATCCACTGTCCAACTGACACCATCCTCTGCCCTACTGACACCCATACTACTGACACTGTCCACACATCATCCACTGCCCTACCCTACTGACATCATCCACTGCCCTACTGACATCATCCACTGCCCTACTGACATTGTCCACACACCATCCACTGCCCTACTGACACTGTCCACTGCCCTATTGACACTGTCCACACACCATCCACTGCCCTACTGGCACTCTCCACACATCATCCACTGCCCTACTGACACTGTCCACACACACATCCACTGCCCCCCTACTGACACTGTCCACACATCATCCACTGACCCCACACATACCACTGACACTGACGGTCCACTGCTCTACTGACATCAGCCACTGCCCTACTGACACGGTCCACTGCCCTACACGTCCACATCAGCCACTACCCTACTGACACACGGTCCACTGCCCTACCGACATCAGCCACTACCCTACTGACACGGTCCACTGCTCTACGGACTGACACTTTTCACTGTTAAGGTAATATAAGTTCATATTTCTGCAGTGACATTTGTTTTATTATATTTTTCTAAAGTTTTGTATTATTTAGTTAGGCCTTCCTAGTTAATTTTTAAAAAAAAATAAGGGAATTTAAAAAAAAAAAAAATAAGGGCGCAGAACCGCGGTGATCTTTGATCTCTTTCATGTTGTTCAGATAGATCTGAAGGTTGCCTACCCCGGGAAATACTGTATACATAGTTATATTGGTCCATATTGGAATGTTTTTGGGTTTCATTTCTCTTTAAGCAAATACTGAACTCTGGTAGACTTCATCAAAGTTGTATTCTCCTCGTCAGAAATATCACAAGATGTGTCGCCGCTGCTTGCAGCGCCCAAAGAATTTCTGGCTCCTGGACCTCAGCAGAGCTGGAAGCGGCAGGTGCGGCAGAGGGAATGCATGCAGAACTTTTGCAAACGCCACATCTGTTTCACAACGCGGGTGACAGCAGCGGAGCAGAAAAGAGCGAGGGGAGGATGGTAGGATGGGGGGTGGGGGGTTTGAGGCAGGAAAGATATGAGCTGGCTCAATATGCCTGATGCTTTGCACGTGGGCAGAAGGCCAGGCAGAAAAGCGTGGGCCCATCTTATTGGAATTCAGTGGTGGCCCTCGCTTCCTGTCCAGAGACAGATGTAACGCAGCCGTCCATGGCATTGCAAGCAGGCACTGAGCTGTTTCCAGGGATTTGTGTGCGGTGGAGAAGCAGTGTCGCAGGCTCACCGTGCACCCCTGCATAGCGAAATGACAGCCAGTCTTCTATTCCACATGACAAGCACTGGATAAAAACTTACAACAAATGGTGACCTTTCCAAAGATTAATTTGTTTACCAGCAGAATCCTCCTCTCCCTGTCATCCCAGATGGAGCGTATCAGAACGTCCCCAGATTCGAGGTGCAAGGAACGCTGACTCCAATCAGATCCAAATCTCCGGCAATTAGTTCCAGGCTTGTTTTTTTTTTTCCCCCTCTCTCTTGTATAATATCCCCCCCCTCTACACACACAATTACCCTTCCATCTGATCAGGGAGATTGTCACGCTTCCCATTACCGATATAGTAAATACATTCCAAGGAAAAC